CTCCTGCGCAAGCTTGGTCAGCGAGCGCCAGCCACAGCGGTCCTGTGCTTGTTTCTCGAGTTGTTTAGGGGGTATGTCAGCATACTTGATGTTCTCCTTAATACTGTCTTTAAAACGTTTCTGAGGCCTACCCCTCTTTCTTTTCCCCTGGCAAAGCTCGCCGTACAAAAGTTGTTTAGGGATCCTAGTGTCATCCATACGGATGACATGTCCTGTCCACCGCAGTTGGGCTTTGAGTATGAGAGCTTCAATACTGATGGTTTCCGCTCTGTCAAGAATCTCAAGGTTAGACACCTTATCCTGCCAGCGAACTCCAAGGATCGAGCGCAGACTGCGCATATGAAAGCGCTCCAGTTGCTTGATATGTCTCTTATACAGAGTCCAAGTATCACAGCCGTACAGGAGGCTGGGGATAACAACTGCGTGATAGACTTTCAACTTCGTGGATAACTTAACATTATGCTGTTTCAAGACTCGAGTTCTCAGTCTGCCGAGTGCTTGGCTGGCTTTACAGATCCTGCTGTTGATCTCTTTATCGAGGGAGCCGTCATTGGAGATCACACTACCAAGGTAAGTAAACCCATCCACGGTCTTCAGTTGAGTACCCTCGATTGAGATACACGGGCCACGGGCTACAGAGAGTGGTGCAGGTTGAAGCAGAACTTCTGTCTTGCCAAGACTAATGGTGAGTCCAAAGAGGTCCGCTGCCTCAGCAAATTTGTTGACGAACATCTGAAGGACTGGCTCCTTGTGGGCCACCAGGGCGCAGTCGTCAGCAAATAGGGCCTCCAATATAGTTGTCACCACTGTCTTTGTCTTCGCCTTTAGCCGACGCAGGTCGAAGAGAGACCCATCTGTTCTGTACTTCAGGTGCACTCCATCTCTTACATCGCTCAAGGCCTGGTTGAGAACACAGGTGAAGAACAGGTTGAAGAGAATTGGGGCTAGTATCGTGACCTTTAATATAGAAAGAACCTTCTAATACTGCACTGTGATCTTGAAGGCTGTTGCCACCATAATACTGAATGAGCAAAGTTTGCCACTATTAAAAACACAGCTTAATTTAGAGTCCAAACTAATTGTTACTTCCATGAAATGGGAGTTAAAAACTGTATTTTGTCTGGATGATAAAGTTGGGTGTATATCTCATGATTCTTTGGACGGACTGCAATATAATATTAATGGTATTTAGCAAGTGGGTAGGTGGGGTGAAGCAGATTGTGTAGTTCGACTTTGGCCACCTGGTGATTGACCTTGGCACTGCAATTTTTTGTTTGATTTGTGTTGTTTCGTCTCTTCAGCCATCCCAGATTGTCCTGTCCCACTGTCTGGATGCCATCCAAGTGTTTGTCAACTCCTACCTGATGCTGTCTCACAGGAACAGGGTAGCTGTCATCGCCAGTCACACCAGTAAAACGTCAGTAACAGCCATCAGACATATATAGTGCTGGGAATTGTATCTGTGCGTGTATGTGTATGTGTATGTGCGTGAGTTAGGGCTGTGTACCACAAAATCGCACAAAGGTCTAGGTACAAAATATCAAATCACTAAGTACATGTACCAGTAAGTAACCGATATCTGTATCTTTATAACTGGTATAACCGCCCTTCAGCGTAACACAGCAGCCATGACACAAGTGACCAAAGTGACATCTAGAAGGAGCATATCTACTAAGTAATACGCATTTAGATCTTTCAAGAACAGCTATAGAGTATTGTAAGCAACAAGAAACAGTCCACATGGTTCTGTCTTGTTTCAATAAGTCATAAGGCTGCCTATCTAGGTCTTCCTGTGTAATTTGAATAAAGATTCTGTCAAGTTTATTACTGTTTCTACTGTTATTGAGGAAGTTCAGAAGAACATATTGTGTCTATTTGTCATATTGTTCAGGTACCCAAAAACATTCTACATGTACATGCATACACATGCAAAATTGCTTAGTGACTTCAGCATCAAAGCCAGACCAGGATGAATAAATTTGTTCCACTTCTATCCTCTACACAGACATTTTCTGTACCCTAAGAACGTTCCTGACCCCAGGTTAGACCAGAGGAGAGGGGAGGACGGGAGGTATGAACAGTTCGCTACTGTAGACGACACTGTCGTGGAGGAGATCAAACACTTAATGACATCAGGTAGGTTGTTTGTTTGTTTGTTTGTTTGTTTGTTTGTTTTGGGCGGTGTTGGTTTAGAGGGAGATTGTATGCATCTCATCCTAAGCAGCAAGGATTGGAAGTGAGTGGGCAGAGATTGGGTTTCAGTGGATTGACAGGGTTGTAACCTGTTCAGTCTGTATGTCTCGTGGTATGAGGTTGCCAGGAATGTGTACTGTGTAATCATGGTATGAAATATAAACCATGGTGTAATACCTAAGCTTGAAATGATGTAATCATGATCATGTCATTCAAATGGTCAGGTTGTGCTTTTCATATGTTTCATTTTTCTTGTTCATATTTTTGTACATTCTTTATTTATAATATTTTTACATTCTTTATTGTGTCTTTTCACAGATACGACCAACAGTGAACTGAAGACAGACACACTTTTGGCCGGATCGCTTGCAGTTGCCCTGTGCTGTATCCTCTCTACTGTCTTTTCCTTCAGAAAATGACAGACGTTTATATAATTGCATATGTATGCAAAAGACAATGGAGCACCCTCTAAATGGACACCTTTGGCAAAAAGTGAAGGAGAGATAGATAATATAATGTATTTGATAATCAAAACAATCTTAAAACTTGTATAGCCTTTGTTTCCTTGACTTTATCCTCACAGACATTCATAGGTTAGAAAAGGAATATCAAGGTAAATTGCATTAACTACCTTTTATGCAACTTTTCGTTAGTTTATTGAAAATAAAGCAAGAAAATGTGACAGCATTACAATATTTTTCATTTGATGAGATCTTTGTTTTGTATGACACACTGTTGTCACTGCCTAGGACTTTCCAAAATTTTCCTGTGACTGTCACAGGCCTATAAGCAGACTTTCATGAAAGAGGCTTAAAATTCAATCTTCTATTTTGCAGCTGGACAGCAACTGAATTCCAGAGTTCTGGTAAGGTTTTTCCGGGTTTTATTTTTCACATTTGTAAACAGATTGTGACTTTACAAGTATTATAATTATTGTTGTACATGTAATAAGGAAACGTATAGGGCAGGGATTTTATCAGCAAACCTTTTCAACTTTTCTACAGGTGATCAAGGCAGCAGAAGACAGCCCCTCACAGTACATGAACCTCATGAATGTCATCTTTACTGCACAGAAACAGGTAAGGCTTTCTAGTTAAGTCACAGCCCTCGCGCAACCACTAGCATGGTCGCATATGGCGGCACCAATGTCCTTTTCGTATAGCCCTTGGGCCACACAGTTGTGCAATCATTACAGCAGGGGGCTAGTCCACTGGTAGTGTTGTGTGTTTAACTTCCATACTCTTTTTCAATTGCTGAGTGCTAAGCAGATAGAGCAGTATGCACCATTTTTAATCTTTGGTATGACTTGGCTAGGGATCGAACATGACCTACCAAGTGCAAGACACTCTATCTACACAGCTTTAATTTCTAGAACTTAAAATAATTGCTGCTTTAGCTTAAAAGAGCTCCAAAGAACAGTGATGCCAACTAACTTCTCTTTGTTCCTGTCCTTTACAGAATGTTGTCATAGATGCCTGTATACTTGATAAAGAGTCAGGATTATTGCAACAGGTAGGGTGCCAATGCTGCTTATTATTTATCAATCTCTTCATACATAAGGGTAGTTGGAAGTTTTGTTTTTTCCTATCTTTAGTATATTTGTACAGGTACATGTATTGGTAATATGTTGTACTAACTAGATGTTTATTTTTTACCTCCCTACAAAGGCCAGTGACATCACAGGTGGGGTTTACCTGAAAATACCACAGATGTCAGGACTTCTGCAATATTTACTGGTAAGTGTTGAAGAGAGTTATCAACCAAGGATTTAGGTGTTTAGGTTTTCCTAGAACTATCGTAGAGTGGAACTTGTTGCCACCAAGCACAGTTGGGTCATCATCACAGACACTAGAAAGCTTTAAACAACTCCTGCAATTAAATGTGCAAAGATTGAGTGTAACAGGTTCCCACTGCGCTGATTGCCTGCGAAGCTGGTGTATTTTGCCAAAGGGCTTTTACACCGGCTATACCGATACAGATATAATATTTTCCCATGTTTTTCTACAGTGGGTGTTTCTCCCTGACCTGTCTATGCGTGAGGTGATGGCCCTCCCACCTAAGGTCCAGGTAGACTACAGGGCAGCGTGTTTCTGTCACAGAACCCTCATCGACGTAGGCTACGTCTGCTCTGTCTGTCTGTCCAGTGAGTAAGAAACATCCTATGCTGTGGTGTGGTTTTGTAAGTGGTATGAAAATGCCACTTCTATGTGTATCTCAAGAGGCTGAGTTTTTGTTGCCAGTATGTTAATCTGGTAATGCTAATTTGATGCTTTGATCAGTTTTTTTGTCCATCTAACTAATAGATACACAATACTGTGAAACAGATTGTTAAAAATGTTTCTATACACATTAATGTTTTAAGGTTATGTAGTTGAACAATACCGTTGATAATGACAGATATGCTTATCACATAGATGTTTTTGTATGAATAGTTGCAGAACAAAAGTACTGAAAGTTAGATTTGAGGTTATTTACAGTCCATGTTTTTCCCTCCAGTCTTCTGTTCTTTCAGTCCCATCTGTTCCACATGCGAGTAAGTATCTACTGCATTTTTCTAGAAATAATTTTGCTATTTGATTCAATTATGCTGTAACCAATCACCCATTTCAGTCTTTACAAAGTTTGGAAAAACAGAATAACCCTGCAAGATTTATCTTTGTCTTTCTCTGGTATCATAATGTATGTATGCAATCACTGGCCAACTCAAATACTGTAGTTACGTGATAGGTTGATGTGTATGTGTATGTGTCATTTTCTTGAATTTTCTATTTTTTTATACTGATATCATCGCAGTCATTTACATTCATTTGTTTTACAGGACTGCTTTCAAACTAGCCAAGCCTCCCATGTTCAAGTCAAAGAAGAGGAAAAAGTCCATACAGAATGGAGGACCATCAACATCATTACTGCAGTGATACAGAAACATTACTTTTGTATGGATTATAGCATTGTTACAGTTAAAGTGCCAGCAAACAGCAAGACAAAACAAAATGTCAACAATGTTACAATGTGGTTACTAACACATTTGCCATGAAGGAGCTCAAAGCATTTTGGTGGAATATAGTTATGAAGCTACTAACATATTGTTTTATTAACAGTGTAAAAATATGTTTAGTTTTCTTTAATAGTTAACTTCAGAATAAAGGATTCATATCTGGAAAGTCATATACATACTTATGTTTTGAATTCAAACAAAGCTCTGGCGTGTATGGCCAGTGCAAAATATTACATTCAATATCAATAAACCATATACATGTATATGTCTTGGTTATGGTCAATTTCTTGTCTGGATGCATGTTGTAAAATAGCATTGAAACAGTAGAGAGAAAGAAAGTCCACAGTAATACATACTTTTTATGCACTTATGGTTCTATTTTGTATTGCCTCTTTTCTTGCAAAAAATCTAACACCCAGGCAGTCAGCTTATACACATAAGACATTTACCTTGAACTACGGACAACAAGAAGGCGACACACATACATAACGCTAGACTTCCTATGAGTTATTCACTACAGACAATATGACATGTAACAGTATATGTTTGTCAGTAAACGACACTCTGTCAATCAATCAACGGTGAAGCATCTCAAAAGACTGGTTTAAGTCTCCTACATAGCTATTGGATTAGGTGACGTTGTAAACATCTGTTGGACCAATCGGACGTCGCGTTAGTGTTTGTTTAGCATGAAATGGTGTAAAAGCCTCTTCTTGTCGTAGTTCTGGCTGTCTGGACGTCTATACTGGCTGCTAGGTTGTTGACGTTGTTGTCAAAGCGCTCTCACGTTTCGAGTGTTCTGTGTGCGCCCTGTTGAAACCGGATGACGGGGCTATTGTGTTTACGTGTGCGTGATATACTGTTGACAATATAACCCCCCCAGACTGGCTATACTAGGCGAGGTGTAAGGACGTGGTAAGATTTTACTGTTATCTATACAGAGGATTTGTTAGCGTGTGTGCGTACATGGCAACAGTAGAAAGGCACCGACACAGTTTGCAGCGTACACAGCTTCAACACTGCAAGACTCAACGTTTCGAAGTTCGAGAGAACGAATCTTTCAATTGACGGCCTGCAACCCTACAAGTAAGTGCAAGTGCATAATTCACTTCCCTGGATACCCTTTGTGACTCTCACGTTCAAGTGAGTACTAGTAGTTTTACAGTATGGAATCATACGTTAAGAGATGCTGAATTGGTTGATTGTTGCTTTTATAGTTCATTAGTGTGTGTACATGTACGTGTACAGGTGGTAAAACTAAGGTGAACGAATGCCTACGTGTTGTACGTGCACGTGCAATCACTAAGGGTGGGTAGAACAACACATATCAGTTACCGCCAAGGCCGAGGATACAAAAATGTCTTCAGCTAGCGCCTTAAATCGTACCCTCCTCCTCAGAATTCTTTATCCCCAACCTACGTCTCTATACTTCACATTAAGTCTCCATTGACACAATTTTGGAGTATAAACGGTGAAACTGAATACTTGTCGCATTGTGTTCGTGTTGATACGACAACAAGTCGAGCTGATTACACAGCGCAGAGTTCAGGACGGCTTTTGTACTGATGACAAACACATACACAGTCCTACTTGTACGGGGAAATGCTGCTAATCGATACAGATCAAACTGAATTGATCTGCGTGTATCACTTTATGTCCTGGTTTGTTTCTGCGTATGTACTACATTTTCTGTGTTCCCTTTTCAACGCACACTGCGTGATAGGCAAGAAAAATCAAAGTTACGGAAAAGGCTTGTCAGTTGGCTTAGTTGTAAAAGATAGGCTTTTGGTCAGACCACATTAAGAAAAATTAACAACTCCAAGATAAAGATACATCGAATCGTGATCAGACTAAAAGGCATCCGATGCAATTTCATGCGGCAAATAAAAATATTCTGGATGAGGAAATCTGTATGATTTTGACATTTACATGTACTAGCCATTTCGTCATCATCTCATACTTGAAGTATTTTTTGGTACCACCCAAAAATAGCTAGAGCCAGCCTACGATACAAAACAAGCAACCGTTTTCCGTCAGCGACATCGCATTTTTGCCTCACAGTTATTGGTATTAGCGCTATGGGATAGGATTGTTTCAACTTACATTAAAAGAATGACTATAAAATTGACTTTGAAAGACCAGTTTTGTTTGGGTTTACCGCTTTTCAGCCTGCCTCCTCAAGCTTGACTCTGAAGTAGTAGCTAAGACCTATTTTCAAAACTAATGGTATTTTGTTTTCATTGGCAGGCCTTGCAGGAGCGTCGAAGACACAACATGTCGACCCTTAGAAACATAAGCTCTTTCCGCTGTGTGAAGGACGGTTGGAAAACTCTAGATCTCAGCAATCAAAACCTCCTGGTCATTCCTCCCGCAATCTTCGAACACGTCGATTTAGAGAGGTTAGACCTTCAGGACAACAACATCTGCACGGCTGTAGTACCACGAGAAGCCGCTAGCCTCGCGTCGCTCGTGATCTTGGATTTAGGAAACAACACAAACCTCGGACATCTTCCTCGACAGATAGGGCTTCTTGCGAAGCTCCGGGAGCTGAGAGTTCAGAGGTGTGGGATTGAGAAGCTGCCAGAGGAGCTGTACAACCTGCAGACGCTAGAGGTCCTCGTTGCACCGGGAAACAAGATAACCACCCTGAGTGAAGAAGTAGACAGACTGTACAACTTGAAAGAAATCTGGCTAGGAGAGAATGAGCTGGAGTCGTTGCCGGGGACGCTATGCGTGTTGTCGAATTTGCACACTCTGAGTCTGTACAAGAACAAGCTATCGTCGCTTCCACCGGGAATAGCGAACCTACAGACACTCAAGCTGCTCAGCATTCAGAGCAACCGCTTCACAGCGCTCCCTGGCGACATCTGCAAACTGTGCAACCTGCAGGTGCTGCATGTCGGGGATAACGTCATTCACGAACTGCCGGAGAACATCACCAAGCTGACCAAACTCAGAGTGCTGAGCATCAGTGCGTCTCACTTCAAGGTGTTCCCCGCCCAGGTGCTGCATCTGTGGGCCCTGGAGGAGCTGTACATGGGCCGCTGGTCCGGGCCGGGGAGACGGTCCTTCGTCCCCAAGGACATCGCGATGCTCCGGAACTTGAAGCGGCTGGCTGTGGACGTGTGCGGGCTGGAGTCCCTCCCGGACGGGGTCGGCGCGCTCACGCACCTCGAGTACCTCAGCCTGAGCTACAACCGGCTCTCGTACCTCCCTCCACAGATCCTCACGCTCACCAACCTCAAGGTCCTGAAACTCAAGAACAACGGCATGACCAGTCTCCCCTCGGCCATGCACAGACTCGGCAACATCGAGCAGATCGATGTCTCCGGGAACCCCCTGACATACCCTCCAGCTGAGGTACTGAATGGGGGAGTTGCTGCCATCATGGCCTTCCTCACTGAAGAGGCAAGACTGGAGAGGATCAGGAGGGAGAAAGAAGGTAGGGGAACTTAGCTATATATAAATCAAATAAAACTATCCATTTGTTCGTTCGAATTCCATGCCAATAGATTGAAATGTCTGAAGGTATCTTTCTAGTAAAACATTTAGCAACAAAACAGGGAAACGCACTCTGCTATGGGCACAAATCTGGCGTAACATGAAAATGGCGTTAGATGTTTCTACAGCCCTCTCGCATCTACAACCAACAGAACTGAACGTTAGTGACCAAAAGAATAATTTAAAGACGGATTTCAATTGCGAGTACACACTTCATTTGACGTGTTGGGCTTACACAATCACGAGAGTAGCATTTCACTACTTTAGCTAGCTGCTTTGGAATTCATATGGTTGCGCTTGAGCAAATGTTATGAAACGGGCCATGCAAGTCATGTATAACCAAAACAAAAAAGTTACATCAGTTGTATGAAAATTGAACAATGTCTTTGACTGAATTTTATAGTTTTGAGAAATGAAAAGGGGTTTGTTTGTTTGTTTGTTTGTTTGTTTGTTTGTTTGTTTGTTTGTTTGTTTGTCAATTTTTTATCACCCATCGATGTGTGTTGCTTCTGTTGTTTTTCTCAGACCGAGAGTTCAGCCAGCTGATGAACACGCTGTCGGCGGACGTGGATCGGGCGGAGTGGCGGTGGATCGGGCGGGAGCTGGGGCTGACAGACCTGGAGCTGCACGCCATACAGGTCCGTGCCGCCTGCCCTCCAGCAGAGGGTTTGGCTTCTGTTTGTTTTACGTCTATTTAGGCTTTTTTCATCCGGCTTTGGTGTTTTTTAACGTCTTTTTAGGCTTTGTCATTGGGCTTCCTTTTATTTGTACCGGTATGTTGATACTGTACTGCCAATTCAGCGGATGCTGTCTAAGTTTACCAATTTGATACTGTCTTAGCCACCGGCAAATGATCTGCTTGGAGAATACACTGATGCCACATTTTGCACTGTAACGTTCTCTTTTTCATTTGAAGTATTCCAAGAAACAAAACAAAAATAGGCAGGTAGGCAAGAAACAAAACACTTGTCACAAAGATTTTCATTCTAAGACTGTTTTACCATGGTTTTACAAAACCAGAAGTTACCATTTTACATGTTCTAAGTTGCAGTGCTTCTTTTTCAGTGTTTTGGCTATACTTAATATTTCTGGTGTATTTTCAGGAGGACGCGCAGGACAACGTTCAGGAGCAGACCTACAAGGTGCTGATGACCTGGCGGGAGCAGGCGGGAGAGTGCGCCACGCTGGACCGCCTGGTGGAGCACCTGAGGTCCATCCGGCTGCACCACCTAGCGGAGGCACTGCAGGACATGAGGGAAAAGCGACACCTAGCGGATCCAGTGCTGTAGCCACCAATAGCTCCCCTGACATTCGTACATTGCTTTGTATTTCAACAGAATGCCGAATGTCACAATGAATATCTTCCCGTTTACAGACTTGTGTTGTAATACAGAGACATGGATTTTCTTGCCATTTAGCCGATGTGTTTTTGTCGTTCTAACGTTGTACTCTAGATCTGTTGCTAGTCAGGCGAATAGGGTCTTGTCATAAACTGATCCTCTCGGTATGGTATAGTGAATGAGTAAAGTGGATTATGTGCAAGAATTATGGAAGGATAGAGCTGCTATGTATATGTTCTGATTTGGGATCAAAATAAAGTAATGGTTACCACAAGTCAGTTCCTGTTTGTCACTTATTACTCCGTGAAGGAGGTATCCCTCCTGCAGGAGTATTGTGGTCAGTTCGCTAGATATATATTTGACCAGGGATTTAGCCATTTTTACCATACGTTGTTACCAGTTGTTAAGTGCTCACACACTCTTTACATACACTATACTGTTCCCAATCTGCAAAATACAAATTGTCGACTATGGACACTTGTCTTTTAAGAGCCCTGTAGTGTCAGGAGCAGATTAATATTAACAGGTGGTTACTCATTAACCAGACCAGACATTACCTAGGGGTGGTGTAAAAATATACACAGGTTAAATCAATATGTTAGAAAGTCCACATTGCTCAGACGTGGGAGCGAGGGGCGGTGCACCACTGAAAACAAACAAGAACTTGCTACACGTAATTACTAGCACTTAAGACTTGCCTGGCTAGTTGAGACCAAAGAGAATTCTGTCCAGAAAGACCCTTACGTCAAGTTCGTGAGCAAACTCTTCAAAAATATATAATTGTTGTTCTAGGTGTACGAAACTGTAGAACGTTTCAAAATAATGAGCAAAACTTATATTGGAAATCGAGAATCAGCGATCGTAACTCTAAGTTGAATGAATTCGCGCCGGACGGCTCAAGCGATTGTTTATGACAGACTTTGGAACGTTCCTACTTATTAGGTGGCCAAAAGTCAAAGGTAATTGATGGTATAAAGTACACAAACCGAAGGTTGTTCATGTCTAGCAAATTGTTTGGATGGCTGAACGGGAGACCTACAGAAGATTGACAGTGTGACAACATGGGACAGAGTTGTACGTCTAGTACTTGTACAGTGTTAGACCAGACATCATGCCATCATGAGTGAGAGTGGTGAAGACATACAAGAGGAAAGACCGGGAGAAGAGCCCGTTTCAACCCAGCTGAGAGATAAAACATTCGAGGAACACATTGAAGACTCTCAGTCGGTTAGCCCTCTGTCATTCAAAGACTTCCTTCCCCGGCCGGTAGGAGAACAAGACAGCTCTGAATACGAAACGTTCAGGTAAGTACTGTTTAACTCGTTAGTATATGACGACCATAGAGCCATGTGGAAGAATTGTAGATCAAGGAGGTTAAAATGCAGGGGTGGCTGCTTATGTTACAGGTGTAACAGGCCAGAATGTACCCCTAACTAGATACATGTATTATAAATATAATGTACCCACTAGTAGGTTTATTCTTACCAGGGGTATTCTGTGACCTGCATGCTACACCCACACATCAAACAACCTTACTTCTTCAGAAAGCTTATTTCTTTAGAAATAAAAGTTTTTTTGCAACAACCTGGGGAAATTTTAAAACTCCCTTGGTCAGATGACAGCAATAGACTTTCTTATATAAGCCATCGACTCCACAATTCCCTGAATTTTCGTTTTTCTCTGTTTTTGTTTCATTTGTCCTACGTAATACCATCCTCTTAAATTCTATGTCTGCCATTTTTACCGTGGCCGACAAGAACAAAATTTTACACCGCAACTTTTGGTGTTTTACACCGCAACTTTTGGTGTTTTACACTGCAACTTTTGGTGTTTTACACTGCAACTTTGGGTGTTTTACACTGCAACTTTTGCTGTGTTTTACACTGCAACTTTTGCTGTGTTTTACACTGCAACTTTTGGTGTTTTACACTGCAACTTTTGCTGTGTTTTACACCGCAACTTTTGCTGTGTTTTACACTGCAACTTTTGCTGTGTGGAAAAGTTACACCCCTCCCCTTTTATAATGGACGGTCCCCCTGTCAGGTCAAAGGTGACAACGATGGCATGCAAACTACGTCGACTGAGTTATCCTTTTCGTGCATAAGTTTTTTAGAGGAAAAGCTTGGCTACGTTGTGACGTTAGTTTTTTTCTAAAGGTTTTTCTAGCTTTGGCCTATAGACCGGGATAAATTTAAAAATGTTTCGACCAGGTCCAGTGATTACAAATTATGTTGCTTTTTGCTGCCATGCGTCACAACAAATTTATCAAGGACGTCAGATATCCAGCTCCAGACATCAACAGCAATGACATAAATTTTCTGCAGGTTAGTTCATTATTATTGGGTATGGACATCGTTTTTCTTCATTTTAATGTCCCTAGACGTCAGCTTGTGACTTGCCGCCGCCATCTTTGTCACCTTTGACCTGACAGGGGGACCGTCCATTATAAAAGGGGAGGGGTGTAAGTTTTCCACACAGCAAAAGTTGCAGTATAAAACACAGCAAAAGTTGCAGTGTAAAACACCAAAAGTTGCAGTGTAAAACACCAAAAGTTGCAGTGTAAAACACAGCAAAAGTTGCAGTGTAAAACACAGCAAAAGTTGCAGTGTAAAACACAGAAAAAGTTGCAGTGTAAAACACCCAAAGTTGCAGTGTAAAACACCAAAAGTTGCGGTGTAAAACACCAAAAGTTGCGGTGTAAAATTTTGTACTTGTCGGCCACGGTACATTTTGATCGATAGGAGGAGAGGGGCAGCTAGATACTCTTTCCACAATATACATTTTATGTAGTACATAAATATGTTTGATATATGACGTTACATGTATTTATGGATGGCGAACTTTGGACGAAAGAAAGTTTACTTAGGGACGGATCACGTTTGAGCAATATAGGAGGGGGTGAATAGACGCAAAAGGGGCAAACCAGTATTGATCTGAGTGGGGTCATGTGAGTTCACGGACCGAATTTGTGCATATATAATCCTACAGAACTCTCGTAGACAGAGCAAACGCGTTTCTTGAAGACCACCGTCAGTATGACGTCAGGACGTGTGAGACGCTGGAGGTGCAGTACTCCGGGGCCCGGCAGGTGGCGTGCACGGACGTGTCGCTTGTCGGTGGCAGGAGGGACAAGGACCCGTATTTTAGAGGACTCAGGTCAGTCGGCGATGAAGACCACTGTTACACTATGTAGCTAAGACGGTGAAGTTACCACCATATCTTTTGTACGAAGGCCCACAACTACACGTACCTCTTTCACCGCCCTTCCACACCGCGCTGCCAGCTGCAGAAGAGGTGTATGGCAGGTATAGCCCTTGGCAGCGCAGTGTGACAGGGCTGTGAAAGAGGTGTAGCGCAGTGTCGTTGTGGGCCTTTGTACTTTTTGAGATATCTTGCTTACAAGCCAATGAAGACAATATCATTGGAGACAGAAGTACAACCACAGAAAATTGCAAATAGCAATCTAGCTATTACTATACTATAGTAGCATATGTACATTTTATTACCATCATGAAAAATGCAGGCATTATCTGTGTGTGTGTGTGTGTGTGTGTGTGTGTGTGTGTGTTTGTTTGTTTGTTTGTTTGTTTGTTTGTTTGTATGTATGAGTGTGTGTGCTTGTGCCTGTTTCCGTGATCTTCA